ATTCATATAACCCACCCCTTTGTATTTGTATGCTGTATATGCAAAATCCAAAACAGACAGTTAAACTTGTTGCATCATTCCCAAAAAGACTCTTGGCTGTATTAGCTCAAAAGGGTGCTTCTACTAAATACTGAGCAAAGGGTCTGAATACTTATGACCATGTGATATTTCAGTTTTTCTTTTTTAATAAATCTGCAAAAATGTCAAAAATTCTGTGTTTTTCTGTCAATATGGGGTGCTGTGTGTACATTAATGAGGAAAAAAATGAACTCAAATGATTTTAGCATATGGCTACAATATAACAAAGAGTGAAAAATTTAAGGGGGTCTGAATACTTTCTGTACCCACTGTAAATAAAATGCAGTGAAAGGAACTAGCATTTACTTCCAGGGTTAAACATATGCTCCGTCTCTCCAGTGCACATCTATTTATAGACACTGTCACAGTCTACATGCTGTGTACACTATTTTGAGAACTGAACTGGTTTATTCCATACAAGTGACGACACCTCTGGACCAGGTAAAGCATTGTATTGTGGGCTTTAAATCACAGAGCACAACATGAACCATAACTTACAACACTACATTGCTTGTTATTTCTGTGCATGACAAATCACAACGTGTCTAAGAAAATATTTAGCCCACGCCACTGAGTCTGACTCTCATTAACCTCTGTTACATACACAATTAACACTACACATAAAATATGTAAAAAAAGAAGCAGTACATTACTTTTTCTGTTTAATAATGAAAGGAATACAGTACTGTAGGAAATTTTTCTTAAACTAAGCCAAGTAAAGATTGTAGAAGAAGGAGGAGTGGGTAAATCATCTGTACAAGGACTACTTCGAAATTTTTAATGACTGCAGGTGAAAACTAGATGAGTTAACCTCCAACTCGCCTACTCCCTAGCTGACTCATTCTAGTCTTTCCTGTGAAGCCGCAAAAATATGCGCCATTCTCAAAGAGATTACAGGCCACAGCCACACAGTGTAAAGTCACGCTGGTGAGCTCAGAGCTTCACTCACGTTTACACACAGCCATTTACCACAGGCCTCTGCTACCTTCAGAACAAAGCTCTCATATAACATCCCTCTAAGTCAGCAAATTTAATTTTCACTTTCATATATATCATATATCCTTCATTGTTCTCTTTTAAAAAAAATCTCTTCATAGTGTCAGGATGTGTTTGGGCCTTCTCTTCTCCTTTTGCAGTCACTACTGTCTTGTCTTGCATTAAAGAGGATTGTTTTTAATTGTATGGACACTGCAGAAAGGTTCCAGGTTCAAATCCTGGCCAGTGCTTTTCTGTGTGGAGTCTGCATGTTCTTCTGGTGCCTGGGATTTTTCTGGGTACTCCAGCTTCCTCCCACAGTCCAAAGACAGGCAGGTTAGGTGGTTTGCTGACTCTAAATTCCATGTAGGTTTGAATGTGAATGCAAGTGGTTGTCTGTATATATCAACCCTGTGACACACTGGTGACCTGTCCAAGGTGGACCCCACGTCTTGCCCAGTGCCAGCTGGGATTGGCTCCAGCACCAAAGACCCCATTCAGGAATAATGGATGGATGGACATTTTGGTTAAGTACAGGATAAGATTACATTGCAAGCTACTGCACTGTGGATCTAACTTGACTGACTTGTGATGCATCTACCATTGCATCAAGATTATTTATAGCACTTTTGTATGTATTAGCTGGCATTGGCTCTGGTCATTGTTACTGATACAGCTAATATAACGCGCATGAGGCCAGTTATTTTATGTGTGTGCCGAAGTATTTGATTCTGTCAGCAACAAACGTGTTACCTCAGATCATTGCACTGCCATTAATACGAGACATGTTGGGGCATTGAAATGTTGTGGTTTCCTTTACTCTGGCTTGTGATTCAGATGGCCGCTGTCCTTCTCATGCCTCATTGCTACTGTACATTTTGTCAATTCATACAAGGACACATTTGATATACTTAGGATAAAAACACCTTAAGAGGTGGAACTAGTACCATAGATCAAACATTGGCATTAACAGACAGCCCCCCTCCCCCCAGCCCCCGAAGTTGCACCTCTGCTCCCATTTCAAGCTGCAGAAGTCAGTTCCTTTGACAGAGAGTCAAGATGGAGCTTGTGTTGGGATTATTTTGTTCATGTGTTGAAACACAGGCTGATGTATAACTCTTTCCAGAAAGAGCAGGTGGTCAGTGGCTGAGGTCATCCCAAGGCAGAAGATGAACAAACAGCCCTGGACACAAATGTACCACACACACACTGCTCACACGTTCTCTGTTCTCTTGTCAAATGACAGCAACCTTATCTCATCTCTTACTTCCAAACACACAGGTTCTCCCATTCTCTTTAAATCTTCTCCTTTATATGGATGCACACATGCACGCAAACACACACATTTGGGAGTGATGATAGTGTGAGTGAGATGACGGGCTGCTATATCAGTGGTGGGATGGGTATATATTCCTGGCTGGTGCTGATAAGCCAACTGATGCCTTGCCTTATTTAGTCAGTACTCACTGCTGACACACCAGCAGAACAGCACACTCTGCATGCACTCTGACTGCAGGTGCTTGTCTAATAGAGCGCGCCTGAGTTTGTGTGTAAGTGTAGGTGCATGAGGTGATTCTGTGTTGAGAGAGGAGGGTTCTGATTAAGTAAATGCACATAGCTGGAACTGTGTGTATGTGTGTTCTAATAAATGTGCGTGGTGCTTGTTTACCCAGGGTTTTTCTACTATTATGTTCAATTGCTAGTACAGAAACTCTCTTTGTGCTGTGTCACTTTTTTTATGCCAGTCACAATATTCTGTACTTTCAGCCTATTTGCTTAATAAACTATGCACATTTAAACCTCAGAAGCAAACCATATAAACTAGCTATAAGGTAAGAAGGTATCTGCAAAATGAAAAATAATGTTAATAAACTCTCCAAATTGCTCTTATACGTATCCTTCCTATCACCCACAATTTATATTCATTTAAATCTGTGATTCTGAAACATATTTAATGAGTTGGAGCCATGTCTTAATCTACAGTGGTGTCATAGTTAAATTGAATAAGTTGTTGCCTGGCTTTTTGTCAGCTCATGCACATACTGCATGTCAGCCTTGGTTCAGGTGTGCCTGTAAGGTGTTGGTTAAACATTCACTAGAGCCTACAAGGCAAACAGTGCTATCAAACGCACACACAAGATTGGCTTACTGTATGTTAGTTTTGGCGTTTTTACCGGTCTAACTACTGTTTGACCAGTATGCCATATCAACTTGGCCTGAGAAAAGAAAGGCCAGATCAAACAACATAGAAGATCAACACAAGATATTAGAAATTAGCTAAAATAGCTAGAAAGCTAAACTAATATTCAAGCGTTATTGTATTTCTGATAATTTTTTACAATACTTTAGCTTTTGTGAGACAGCAGATGGAGTGACAGAAAAGTTTCTGTATAACAAAAGCCATCACTGTAGATTATGCAGTGCATGCACTAGGCAAATCAAATCAAATTTATCCCAACATCCCCCAAATGTTTCATCATGCTGACTTTCCATATAACATACAGCTGAGCTGCCAGAATCTGTGACAAAAATGCTTCACGGGACCAGCATCATGTTACAGTAAAAACAGTCACTTATCTCAGTTCACAGACCTCTGACAGCCTCCCCACCACCACCACACACACACACACACGAGAATACTGAAAGCAATAGATAAAGATGCCAAGACACCCGTGAATGAGGGACACAGAACAATCATAAGAGTGAGGGCCCGGCTTCACTCACAAAGCTGATGGGATAGCTCATCTGCACAGTAATTCACAAGGGAAGGCTGGGTGTGACCCCACTAAGCTGTTTTTATTTTGATTGTGTTTCATTTATGTCCACTCCATGTTTCTTAGAAACCTCTTGCTTGGATTACTGGCTTGATCCTCCTCCCCTCATTTCCTATGGACCCACTGGGTACATTCCACATTCAAATACAGAGTCATGTGACTAGAACTGGATCGATGTGAGTGCATCTTTTGCCATGCTCTATATATTGAGACATGCTGTACATAACTTGCTTACAACCATTGCAATCTGAAATTCTGGTTGTTTATAACACTGGTGTTGTAGTAAAAAGAATACAACAGCTTGATCTCAGTCAGAGGAACAGAAGTGCTCGTTCAGAGATTTTCAGTAGCACATGATGGAGCGGCATGTACCAGCCAGTATTTCATTAGTCACTACAGTACAAAGGAACTTGTTTGCCACCATAAACACTTTGTCTTAGCTTGAATGCTTTTACTGTTGTTGCCTTAATGCTATGCATTACATCAGGTGTTTCCTTGTGCCATAAATTATTACTTTAATGCAAAATCCAAGAGGAGATCAGACGCCTCTTTCTTTCAGCACATTGTCCATTTTCCTCTTTACTAGTATCTCAATCTCAGTGACTTTTACTGACACAAAGACCCATAATATCATGAGTCTTATCTGTAGAACAAACAGCATGAAGGAGTTTTAATAATATGAATGTTAAATCCACCTTATATGTTCTGTATATATACTGCTGTAAATGCCTGGATTCAGCCTACTTTATACTTATTTATTGTATTCAGTGTTTTATAAAATGTAGTGTGTGTATATTATTTTATTATTCAGCCAACAAAAGCCTCATTATTTTTTAGCTAGTATGAATAGCAGCCAACTGGACATTTTGCTTTTTATACTGGACCACCTGCATATTTCAGTAGTTTGAACTTTAACTCAGCTTCTGGTTTTTGCTAATTGTTTTTGTTGCCTGCACTCTTGTAGGTCATAGTTTCCTTACAATTACAAATAAAATGTTTTATGTTCCATTTGGAAGCTGTCTGTCTAGTGTGTCTGAACTTGGGTCCTATTGCTCTGTTTGCTGTTTCTTCAGTAGAAGCATGATAGAGTAAGGATGCTCAGTCTGTGTTTTTGTGTTTACACAATATATACTCACATGCACATACAGAAGCATGAATGACATAATATAGTACCTGGAAGCTGCTATTTCCACTTTACTCCTGGCAATGGCTGCAGCCCTCTGTGCCGCTTCCACAGCCCGATCCACCTTCTCTTTGGTTTTGGGGTTCTTAAGCGGAATCAACTGCTTCCTTATTCCACGCACCAGCATGTTATTTTTGTACTTCCCTTCTTCTTTGGTGGCATCTGGGAAAACTGTGCATCCGTAACCATGGCGCTTGTTGTTAAGCCATTCTCCCTCGTATTTCATCCCATTGGATCTCTCTGAAACACCGAATCCACTGCGCTTGTCATTCTTCCATTCACCCATGTAGGTCTCAGTCGTGGTGGCATCCACATGGTCCTCCAGAGGTAGATCCTCATCTGGCAGCTCACCATCACCAATGGATATAGTAGAGTTGGCATCACTGGAGCTTATGCGGCTCATGGTGGCATCGCTTCGTGCAGAGCTACGCTTGCTTGAGATTGAAGTCCGAGAGTCAGACTTGCGTAACTGCCGGAGGCTGCCAAAGAGTGAACCCCGGCGGAACAGGCCCTTCTTCTTGCCAGTGACAACCTCACTGTCCGAGTGGAAATTCAGGACGAAGCCGCCACGGCTTCCTGTTGGCGTTTCTGTAGGGGAAGAGAGGTCCTGGAGCACGGTTCCATTGCTATGCTCAGAGCGCAGAGAGGCCAGAGATGTACGGAGTGGAGAGCGGATAACAGCAGCCATGCCATAGGGAACACTCTGACGTACACCGTAGCCATGCCGCATCCCACCCATCCACTGGCCTTGATAGGTACCTGAGGAACATGTACACATGGGTCAGTGAGCCATGCATACATTCAATCCTATAGCCTAGAGCAGTTCATTTTTTATTATGCAGTTTCAACATTTGATATTTAAAAAAAAAATGTATGGCATTTTTTTTTACAGTGTATTTACCATATACAAAGGTATGTACATGACGAGGGTTTGAAATTGTAACATATAGGACTTTTCCACTGTAGTCACCTACCAAGGCCTACTGGAATGTTGTCCTGGGTTCTGCTTTTGTTTCCACTGCCCTCAGTCAGCTTTGGAGGTGAGTTCCCTGAACTAAATATTGGCACCCCTCTGGAGGTTCGACTGATGCCTGTTCCAAGAACGCATGCAGGGAGGCAGGTGGGTGGAGGAATGGACTAGGGGGGGTTTGTGCTTGTGGGGCTGTTGTCCATGATTGATGACACAGCAGTGTCCTTAGGTCTCAAATATTAACATTACATGCACAGTGTGTGGACATAAGCACACTGATTAGAGGTAAAACAGGGACTTCAGCAAGTTGACCGAGGACAAAGCAGCCAAGATGTCACATTTCTCAAAGATTTTAAGAAGCAAATGCACACTGAAAGTGCTGCTTGTGTGTAAAGTCTGTTCACCTCACTGGGCCCACTTCTAAAAAGAGGCAGTCTTCTATCAAAATCAGTTGCAATAGTGTATACGCTCAAGTGTCTACAAACAAACTAAGAAAGCACTAAATACTTGGAACAAATTTAAATAAGAACATAATGTATGGATGCAGAGTATATCAGCTAATGAAATGTTTTGTCTCCTTCTGGGACTGTGAGCACAACTAACTCAATCACAGGTATTTGATTTAATGCACTGATACTGAAGATCACTTGAGATGAATCATTCATCTAGCTAGGGCCTATTTTCAGCCAGCCACCAACTCTCCCGCTGACAGTAGGCACATTCACCAATATCTGCTTGTCTCCGATGATAGGGATTTGCTATGAGTCACATAATGGGTAGAATATTTCATTAATGCAATTTGGTGCTGCTTAGCCCAGTGAGCATGTGCTGACCTAGTGCAGCTTCTTCAGAGTATAATATAACAATTCTGATCCTAATATAAAGAAAGGCTTGTTAATCCAGTGCTTGAATCTCATTGACTAAAACAGTAAAATAAGCCATAATGGTTTAACTGTAACAGAAAGTGATATACTAGCCTCAGAAGGAATTTAGATGGATAAAAAACAGTGTGAGATTAACAGGCTGGCATTGTGCTGCAGTTCAGTTTGGTGACCCTGCAGATCACATTATCAGGATGTTGTAAGGTTAGACAGCCAGATGTTCTGCAGATCCTCAGCTGATTTTCCAAGCCCAGCCCTCTGTAACCATCATATGTAAGGCATTTATTCTGCACCACAAGGCCTTCATTAGGAGAGATGATGCTCATAATTGACCCACTGATTTGAATGCAAAAAGCACTGTTTGTATTACACAACAGCCCTATACTATATCGCTTGCAGGAACTTGTGTTATTAGACCACTGGATTCCTTGTCTTCGTGATCAAATATATGGCTCTAGAAAAACTCAAGCTGTGAACACACTACTGATTAGTCAGCTCAAAGCTCTGTGAGAAGTCTTGCACTGAACTTGCACTTTCAGCAAGTCCTAGAGTGTGTCACCTAACATGGCTGAATGCACAGAAGAGTCCTTATGACTATGTTTACCACAGAAAATGTCCTTAAAATTTAGATATTTAGAACCATATCCAAAAAAGATTGATATCGATGTGTTTCCACTGCACATGCACCTGTTGTGGATGTGTTCGCAAACAAATGCTAACAGTTGCCCAATAATTCACAAACAGCACTTTCTGAAGAAAATATGTGAAACTAGTTACTTTTTTTTACCCTGGAAACAATAGACTATTCCTCAGTCATACATTTAAAGATGACTATGACTATTCATGAACGATGCCTTTGCAGTGGAGGTACAAATGTGAGTGTTCAGAAAACAGCAAAGCAGGTGACAGCCTAGTTATAATTGGCTCCAAAGAGAGTGATTTGCACTGATGTCCAAACTTCTAGATGGGGCATGGTGCAACTGAGCTTGCAACAGGAGTCACTCTCCTCCCACTGTCAAAATTAGATGTGCACTGGAGTAAGAGAAGCCATTATCTTGCAGGGTATCCAACAAGTTAATGTTACAAGGGTGGGCTGTGTTGGTGCGCATGACCAGTGTGCGCAGTGCGCAATCTCAGCTGAAACTCAGATGGAGATTCTTCCTCTGCTGTATTTCTAGTAGCTTCCCTTAGTTTTGAGTCTGAGCATCCTCGTGCATACGAAGTCTACATAACATATTGTCAGTCACAGCCGTTAAAGAGCTGCACATGTGAAATATTGGGCCATATTTACAAAGGAGCGACTTCTTACCGCCATCACCATAAGTTTCGATCCCATATCCATCTTGCAGCCCGTTGCTCCAGGTGCCTTCGTATCTAGCAGGTGTGTTGTGGCTTTGCCGGACGCCGTACCGACCCTTAAAACCGTGACTCCATTCTCCACGGTAGATCCACTTCCCTTTATTCTCCACACCGAGCCCATGCCGCTTCCCCTGAGACCAGTAGCCCTTGTAGGTATTCCCGCTGGGCCAGGTGTAGACCCCTACTATCTCAAAGCCGTGCGACCAGGACCCGGCGTACTCACCCTGGCCCTTGGGTCCGGTGCAGATGCCATGTCCATGGGCTTTGCCATCCTCCCACCCTCCACAATAAGTGCCACCGTCGTCGAAGTCAAACCTTCCGCCCGTCATTCAGAAACAGGCTGGAAATAAAGCAGATCGTGCGCTACTGCAGACTCAGGCGTCTCCGATACCGACGATGTGGGATCCAGGACCAGTGGCGTGATGAAAAGATGAGCCAACAGAGGATAACTAGAGGAAGACAAAATAGGAGAGTGTGGATAGTGGACTTGTACTTCCAGATACTGACATGTAATACAAAACACATGCGTAATGTAAGTTTGAATGGTGGGCGTTATTTACCGGAGGCGCACACCGGGCCCTCCGTTGTGTGTTGCTCTCTCCCACCTCTCACCCACTGATCACAGAGGGAGAGAGACGGTCCTCAGTCCCTTCCGAAGAAAGACACTGGGCCAATCGCAACGTCACGCCACTGAGACCGCCCCCCCTTCAGCCCAGTGCCAAACTCTACTATACAATTAAAAGACGCACACTTCTGACAAATATGGCATCACATTACACCAATGAATTATAATGTTTTCTGTGGTTAATAGCCACACAGTGATATTCCTATATGACTTATTTTGTGAGATGATAATGTATACTATAGTTATCGTTTGGGGATTGTAAACAGATGCCCAGTATGTACTAGGCCTAGTCACTAATAAATACATCTCCGCTGTGTTTATTATCTACATTATTGTTTGATTGGATACGATTCCCCTAATATTTAACACATTACGTTTTTGTAGCATTTTAGTACAACTGTTGGTGAGAACTAAAACCGCGTTTTGTTTACAGCGAGTGCGTAAGAGACGTATTTTAGGTAATGACTGCCCAGTGAGTGTGACTTTAAAACGACCCCACAAGTGTAGGCTATGAGAAAAATCTAAAACATTTTAAAAAAGGTTCATATGTTCAATAGATCAGGTCATATTTCTAAAATCTATAAAGGTGCGTTCAGTTCAGCTGGTTGCAGTAAGCAAAATCATTATCACGTGACAGTAATGACCTTTAATATCGCCGCTTTTTATATCAGGGCTGCCAATGGCTTGGATAGTCCAACAGTAACATATGCTTTAAAGACGCAGATAATAGCGACATCTGCTGTATAAATGTAATTATTGCACAGTAGACTACAGCCCATACAGTAGTCAAGTGTGGACTGTATAGACTAAAACGTCTAATAACAAGTAAACAAGTGGCATTTAATTCAAACATTGTGTTTTATTAGCTGCGTAGATTTTAGACATTGTTCCCCTTGGAAATGATCTGAAACAAGTGTTAGCTAATGAATTTAATTTGAAATTGAGTGAAGTGCGTCTGGTCTGCTGTTTCCAGTACTATCAATAACAGCAACAGTGACGATGACGACGACAAATAGAAGGAAAATACATACAGTATATATTGCAAAATCAGTATGATTTTTACTCTAAATGGTTGTTCCAAATGTTTTGAGTTACACTCCAAACCTGTAGGGGGTGCACTTTGTCTACTGTGACGTGTTGCTCTGCCCTCATCCGCCCCCTAAGTACAGTACCTATCAGGAACAATGGCGTCCGAAAAGAGCTCTGAATCCCAAGATGAGAGAGCTGCTCTCATAGCGACGGACGCAGAGCAAGATGTACATCAGCAGTGTGGTCCAGTTGCAAAGCAAAGCGATTCCAAATTAAGACTTTATCACTGGACTCAGTCTTTCAATTCTCAGAAGGTGAGTGTCGTTTCAGCACCACAGTTCAGTGGACAGCTCCTCAACAGCTGCGTAGAAAGGCTTGTTATCGTGGATGGTCCTTTGTAAAACACACCCCATGTCTTTGTTAATAAAATGGATGTACAAGGCAATATTACCAGTGTATTTATCAGGAGACATCAGATTTTTTTTTGTTTACCTTTCAGCATTAGGAGCTGAAAAAGAGGAGTAGGCTACCTCGGCGTTTCAGCACCAAAATTTAGAGCTTTAGGACAAAGCTCTTAGAGGTTTGATAAGACATCTGTTTGAATCCACCTATATTTATTGTTACGTACCGTTTAATAAACACCAGGAGGAAATATATTCTTTCTGATCAAAATTTTCTGATTTAACACAGAAATGTTTATTTAGTTTTAGGGCTATTAAAGTGGCAGCGTGTCGTAAACTGCTGGGTGTGATCTTCCATTAACAAGAGCAGCACCTGAGGTGATAAATCCACAAGCAGTCATATTATATAACAGCAAAGCTACAGTTTAGAACTGTTCAGATTGTTTGTAGATGCTTTCTAATCACTTATTTCAAAATAGTGGCGCATCATTTAAAGGAAATTGGTTTGTAGATCAATTATATAGAGTATATGGTAATAATATGGTGCCAGATGGCTTTGATCAAGGAATTCAAAGAACTGCAATTGTTTACTGGTCCACTGGTGGCTATGAGATGTCTAAACCTATAATGACAGTCACAACTGTTTTTTGTTTTTTTTTGTAGGTGCGTCTGGCCATAGCAGAGAAGGGTTTGCAATGTGAGGAATACAATGTGAGTCTTCCCCTTAGTGAACACAACGAACCCTGGTTCATGCGTCTAAATCCTGCTGGTGAGGTGCCGGTCCTAATCCATGATGACAACGTCATATGTGACCCAACACAGATCATAGACTACCTGGAGCAGAACTTCAATGATGGTGACACAAGCAGTTTCAAATTCTCATTATCTGTTAAAAACCTGCAGCTGGGTCAGATAGTTTTTGTTTGCATTCACTGTTTTCTTTCAGCATTTTCTGTTAAATTTGTCATTTTAAATAAATGTATGTTTTTGTTGTCATTGTTTTAAGTTGTTTTAAATATTTTATTGTGCATTTGTTGATTTTTGAATCATTTTCTTTAATTTTTTTATTGGTTTGCAGTGATCTGTGGTAGCTTTTTTCTAAGGGTTTCATTAAAGGAGAAAACCATTTGGTAAGCATGGAACAATTTAAGCTAATGGAAAATTACATGTTAAAAACCCATAGTTACAATAACATAACAGAACCTTAACCCTCCATTAGGGTAGTCTTATCCCTAGACAAGCCTACATTGTATAAAACATTTTCTATTTTACCAGGATTTCTATTGCCTAATGTAGAAATCACGTAGATTCTCTTCTGTTTTATTTGGATCAAGAAAAGCTGTAAGAAAACAAAGTGATGCCTTCCTTTTCATGACTTGTTTATCTCCAGAAGGCACACCAAAGCTGATCCCTGAAGAGGGCACTACATACTACCACAGAGTGCAGCACTACAGAGAGCTACTGGACTCACTACAGATGGATGCTTACACCCATGGCTGCATCCTCCACCCTGAGATCACAGTGGACTCCCACATACCTGCATATGCTGCTGCATGCATACGAAGTAGGACAGACTGAGATGCACTTGAATAGTACTTTGTGATGTTATATTTTTACAGCATGTAATAGGATACAACCTTGTTTTGTTTACACAACAGCCAGGCATTTTGTAGACATGAATTCAAGAACGCATTAGAAAGGCTCCACAGGGATCCCACTTCATGTCAACATAGTGTTGCGTTGGATGTACAAATCTTTCTCTGGTACATCAATACTGCACACAAGCTGTTGCACCTTATCTTTAAGTTGTGTTCTATAACCTTAAATTATCTATTGGACTGATATCAGATAAAGGGAGTACACCCAAAGTTATTTTCATGGCTGGGAAGTATACAGAGATGAGTACAGTGGCCCTTTTTATAATTTAGTTGAAAACCTCTCATTCTTGTCTGCACCTCTTATACTTACTGTTAATGTCATACTATCTGTTTAGAAGAGGAGGCTGTTTGCATGGAAGGAAAGTTTTCTATATGGGATTGTTGATTTCATCAGTCAAGGTTGTTATACTTAAAATCACAGCATGCCTCATCATGTCTAACACACTCCTGTGTTTTTGCTCAACAGCACAGATTGGAAACACACAGTCTGAGCTGAAAAAACTGGCAGAGCAGAACCCAGAGCTTAAAGATGCTTATATAGCAAAGCAAAGGCGTTTGAAGGTAAAACTAAAAACCTTAGATGCTTTTTGGCACAATTTTCTGCCTACAATGTGTAACAGAAGTAAATTTACAGGGAGCTAACACATCTGTAAAAATCTTTCTGCAGTCTAAGTTGTTTGACCATGACAACATGAAATACCTGAAGAAGCTTCTGGATGAATTGGAGAGTGTGATGGACCAGGTGGAGACAGAGCTACAGCGGAGGGTGGAGGAAACACCAGGTTACCACAGTATTTTGTCACTTGGCAACCACTGCACAACGGACAGACACACAATAATGGAAATCATTACATTTCCATAACTGTGCCTCCTGCAGCACAGTCAGCATTTGCTGGCAGCATCATTTTCAAAGTCATTATCTTACATGATGTACTCTGTGCCGTCTTTTCTATCATCTTTCACCTGTAGAAGAAGGCAGCCATCCCTGGCTGTGTGGTGAGTTCTTCAGCATGGCCGATGTCTCACTGGCGGTCACCTTACATCGCCTCAAGTTCCTCGGCCTCTCCCGACGCTACTGGGGCAATGGCAACCGCGTGAACCTGGAAACATACTATGGGCGTGTGGTGGAACGCCCGGCCTTCAGGCGAGTTCTGGGCCATGTCAACAACATCCTGATCTCGGCTGTCCTGCCTGTGGCATTTCGCGTGGCCAGGAAGAACATGCCGGTCATTGTTGGTACCACTCTGTTGATAGGCATTCTGGGAGGAGCAACCTACTTCACTTTTCTTTACATGAAGAAGAGGCTGACTGCCTTCAGCTGAGGGAGGTTCAGGTGGTTTGGGACTTATTTGAGGTGGTGGGAGGAGCTAAAGAAACTGCAAAAGAGAAATGTCACCTATACATCAAACCACAAATTCAAGTAATCTAAGAATAAATAACATAGAATATGATCAATTAATATATATCCATAATATAAAATTGAAACAGGCCTTAATTGTCTTCTGTGTTGCTGGTTGAACAAAATGCACCTTTAGTCATCCTCAGTATGCGACTGCTGCATCATACACCAAAGGACTGACTTAAACAGCTGTACTAGTGTGTTTACATGTTTTTTCACATTTGCTATAAATCACGTGTTGTATCTGTTGTGTTTATGCAGCTCTATAAATAAAGAGTTAAGAATCAAAATATGAAAAACAATTAAACAGTCTGATGAACTTTTAGTTGGGCAGTTCTACATATATTGTAATAACACCCGAAAGTACCACTGTTGTCTGACAGATATTAAAATACATTTCTAAAGGTTTGGAGTTGATATAAACCAGTACATGTAGATTTGCATACTTTACTGAAAGTAATGGAAAGTGGTCAGTCACTGGAAGAGGGGAACTGCAAATTCATATATTAAAATGTCAGTACTAATATAAGATATTTAATTTATAGTAAATGGGCAAAAACTTTCAAGCAAACAAAAAACATTAGAATGGTTACTGCATCTTTATGTGCACTTAAATTACTATTAAAAGCCTATATGTTTTGCCTTGTAAGTGCTTTGTCATGTATTATTTCATTGTTGTCCATATTTGTTATGAAGAACACTAGTAGCTCGTGGCCTGCTAGCATCTGTCAAAAAGTTAACATGCTGCACATTGAAACTTGTGTCTACATGTGACAAAGGGTGTGTAGGAACTTTGATAAGACACCTGCACTCACACTTTACTGTATGACTGATGGATACAATGAATGCTTTTCCGATCTAATTTACATCACATCATCTGCAGCATCTGTCTGAGATTAAACTGCTCTCAAACAGTTTCCAGTGTTTCCCATCAATCAAATTTAAATGAGAAAAACATTGAAAATTCACAACTTGGCATCCTTTAACAATCATAAACATTTAAAATATTTTAGGATTTTAATAGGAAAAACATGTAAGCAGTTGTTATAATTCCCAGAGTCTGGATGTAAGGAAATATCAACCGTCATTTGTCAGGACCTTCAGGCCAAAGCTGACATACAAAACAGACTCATGACAAACCTTTAAATAAAGTCTGGCTTTTATTTTCAATGTCCAGAGGGCTAGGGACTGTAGCTGTCAAAGGAATATGTTACATGTGTTAAAGCCACATGTGAGCTGAGTTGTCATACTAAATCATTCCCTTGTAAACAGCAACAAAAATGACATCTGTGCTTTTACAAGGTTATATCATGGAGGTGTGTAGTGAAAACTAAATCTAATTCTAAAGTTGAAATGCATAAATTATAATGTTACAGGTTAATATATGACCAATATGGACCAAACCATAAAAAAGACACATGTATTAAGTTGATTTAAAGGTCTAATAGCAGTGCTGTAACCTGTTTACAATAATGATCACTGATAATACTGTATATCAGTGCAAGGATGGGGAATTCTTCTGTCTCTGAACATCATTAGGAAGAAATGAACATGCACCTTTGTCCCCACTAGAGGGAAGTGTTTCCCCAAACAAAACTAATCTGTGAGTGAATACAATCCAGCTCATATTTCACAAGGAAGCTTCTGTATGTTCTAAATTACTTGTATTTTCAGAAAACCTAGGACATGCAGGGTTGTGAGCATGTCATTTATGCCTTGCAGTTTCTTAAATAAATACATTTTTGCATGTACTGCTAAATATTAGAATTCAACAAGCTGGCAAAATAAACCTCAAGCTGGAGCTGGACAGTAAGTGTTGTTCAGGTGATTGGTCCTGACATCTCGAATAGCAAAATGCCGGGACAAACAGGTGGTTCACAATATCTGGACAAAATTATCCTCAATCAGACTGCAAAACATTGGTGATTTCTTTCTTTGTTCCAGATTTAATATCATGTAATATAAAAGCCTGTCACAAACAACAAAATACTTAATATGCTCTGGGACTGACTGGGCTGAGCCAGGTGTTTATAAGAGCTGCTGACAGTTTTGATAAATTAGCAAAGATATTTAAAGGACATGTTTCCAATAGTTTTAATAAATGCTCATTCCCTTGGTTTTTAATAATACCACAGACCTTACCAATTCTGTGAAATCCATAACCGTGAGACGATTTGGAGAAACATTTCAGTTTCCTAATTGAACTTGAACTTTCTAAGCAAAGTTTATAAATGCTGGGACTGGACTGGATATTGGTGCACACATTCAGACACTTTTAGGGAATAACGGTGTTACACTGGCTGCAGGGCAAAAGTGACAGTACTGCTGTGTGAAGAACTTAAAAAAGCTTGATAGAGAAGTTCAAATCCTGTACCCGTTTTCATCTTTGTACGCCTTGCCAGTCAAAAAGAAAGCTACAAAAGTGTTCAGGCAAGCACCTTGTCTGAAGAATCCTAATGTATTCATTAGTCTTTTGGCCACCTTTTGACTGGGGGCTGCATTAGATTGGGAAGGGTTTGTGACATGGAGCACAATTTGGCAGATTCAGGTACATCCAACAGTTTGATTTGATTTTGATTTTGATTTATTCTTTCAAACATGTAACGACAGTCAATATGTCAACACACATAATTTCACACATATCCACAAATGCATTATCAATTTGCTTATACCTAGTACATGCTTGAACGGAGTAGGAAGAAGTTAGACTTATCTAGTCCTACCCCCTAACATCATCTTACCATCATTGGCTTGCAAGCAGTATTACTACATAGATAATTTTGTTCTACACCACGCTAGTGATATACTAAAAAAAAATTACAGATTGTTAACATTCTTACATAATAACATACTTTGATAATTATCTTCTACATCACACAAGTAGAAATATTACATAGTGTTAACATTCTTACACCACACCCTCCATCTAATTAATCATTAAGCCTGTTCTTGCATATATCTTGATTGACACATACCTTTATATTTATGTTTAAACTCGTCAATTCTATTACTATTTTTTATGTCTACACTTAAATTATTCCATAGTTTTACCCCACTTATGGAAATACAGAATCTTTTTTTGGTTGTACGTATAGCATGAATTTTATAATTTAACTGACCCCTTAAATTGTATCCCCCTTCCCTTTCATTAAATAGTTTTTGAATTCCACCAGGTAATAAATTGTTCCTGGCTTTATACATAAACACAGCAGTCTTATATCCCACTAAATCAAAAAATTTTAACAATTTAGACTGTATGAAAGCTCCATTGGTGTGATCCCTATACCCCATCTTATGCACAATTCTTATCGCTCTTTTTTTGTAATATATACAATGGTTGAAGTGAACTTTTGTATGTATTTCCCCAGTTTTCAACGCCATACTCCAAGTATTGTAAAATCAAGAATACAAAAGTGAAGAATACAAAATACGTAGTGCTTTCCCGTCCAAAATATATCTAACCCTTGCCAATATCGATATGTTTTTTGCTATTTTGTGCTGAATATATCTGATATGAGATTTCCAGGTGAATTTATCATCAACTATGACACCTAGAAATTTAATTTCATATACTCGTTCTATATTAGCTCCCCCGATTTTCACTTGCAGTTCGTTATCTAGTCTACGATTAGCAAATACCATAAATTTAGTTTTATCCAAATTCAGAGATAGAATATTACTATCACACCATTTCTTTATCTTCTCAAGTTCCTGTGAAACTTGTGTGTTGCCTATCAATATCTACATTAGGCTTACCCAGCCGGATCTAGGGAGAGTCAAAGGTTCTGCAATGAATGCTACTGCCTGAAAAGTGAGACACCAGCAGTGGTTGACATCCTTGATGATGTGGCATTAGTGTTGAGTCACCACGGAACCAAAGCCTCTGTTATACTATAATTTGTAGTCCAACTGGCAGGTTATTTGTATTCCCATTTAGAGTGTCTTTAGACCCCACTGGTGTACATTAAAGATGGTGTCTGGCGACAGGTCAGACCACTAACACAGAGTTCTACGCAGTCTCTTTGCAGCCATTCAAATAAACAAAATGAACCGCGTTTAAAGACACTGCCGACTCCCACTGTTTCTTTCCTTCTACCTCTCTCCCCTAAGCTTATGAAAGTTGTTCTAGGTTTTCCAGTAGGGAGTACCTACGTCAGAAAAGCCAGTTTAGGAAAAGGGAGAGCTGCACCGAAACCCTCATCAGACATGCAAACACGTAGACAGACAGAAAGTGTGGAGAGAGATGGAGGATTGCAGTAGTGTGTGGTTTACTTGGAGTGATAGATGGAAATAAGCTGTTTGGTGATGCAAGTGAGAGGGGAGGGGTGGAGGTGACTGAAGGTGCTGTAAGGTGAAATGGCCTTCTGCAATGCAAGTGAAACATCTTAAACTGGGATTATTACAATCCTAAACAGTTAAACAAAAGCATGTGTTTGAGAAGAACAAGAAAAACGACTTCCATTACAGCATAAAGTCAGCTAACTGCCTTCCGAGACAGTGATCTGCATGAGCAGTAGCAGGTTTGGGGAAAGATGTTGATGGATATTGTAGTGGATGTGATGGGCAGAAGTGAAACTATAATAAAAAATCAGGAACAATGAAGCAGTTAGGAAAAAGGAACAATGTCTTAGTGATGCATCACCTAATATTATCCATCACATCTGCAAAACCAATTGCAGTCAATTCTTCTTGTCCACTGGTCAAGACAAATGGAAAAGTTGTTGGTGAAAATAATGGACTCCATTTATTCTTTGTGTCTACAGTGACATTACATAATGACATTGTAGACAGAGGAATGAACAACCTCAGTGAACAGCAGTTCTATCACCAGTGAGCACTGTTGTTGTATAAGATCTTAAACATATTTTTGTATATCTCCCTCTGTTCTTTTTCCCCTTGTGGGTAGTTTTGACACTCAGAGTCAGTGGTGGATGTTCAGAGGCTGTTGGCTCCATCACAAGTGTTCTCAGGAAACCACCAGGCCTTTCAAGAAAGTATCCGTCACCTTTCAGAGTGCCTGTGATACACTGTTTGCTGAGTCGACAATGATGGGATCTCAAAATGTTGACACCGGTGCTAAAATGACCCCCTGCTGGGTTGCCCTTCACAGCTTTATAATGAAATCCTGTGCCACCATTCATCCCCGCATGTGCTCCTCAAATATTTAAACTTGGCCTACATAAACACCGCTGTGCAGGAGAGATGATACCCAGTGCCATTTGGAGCAGACCTGCGACGTTATAAATCTCTGTTCAATTGCACAGATGTAGCTAAGTCACACACCATTGGTTTTTTATTGTGTTAATGAATTTTCTGTGTATGATGGGTTTGCTGTAAAAATTAACCACAGTGATGTCAGTGGAGTTGAGGTGATGGGAGAAATTATTTTTCCAACTTTTTCTTCTCAAGCTTCTTTGTGTCTACAAAGTGTATAAATTTGACAGGTGGTGTTAAATGTTGGTCCATTAAGGAGATGCTTAGCAGTTTCAGGACAACAGAGTCACTTGTGATCAGAATAACTGCAGTTTGAAAGCAGAATTAACTAGACAAAGGCATTTCCTGAAGAAAATGCATGTGAATGCTAATTGCTGAAGAACTGCCCTAGCAATGCTGAAGTGGCTGAAGGCAGAAATCCAATGCTG